TACGTTGAAACTACCACCAAGTTGCCAGATTGCAGGTGCCATATAATGGGAACGAAACCTCTGAAAGGGTCTTTGTGGCCCATGGCCATCATGTCCGTGCGCAGCTTGTCCATCGTCGTGGTGGCGACGAAATTCCGAGCCAATATCCATTCGCCAGCGGAGTAGCCTTCATGCTTCTTCACTGCTGGTGTGGCGGCCAACTTCCATCCATCCTTACGTAGTGTCTCGCGCTCCAGGGGGATGTGCGCCTTCTCGACGTGGGTCTCCGCTAGGGCGACCACCTTGTAGCGATTGCGAATCTTGTGAATGTACCTGGAGGCTTTGGGCCCCCACTGGGTGACGTTGCCGAAGAACAACGTCACCTGTGCCTCGTCACCCCCTCGACGGCTGGCCGCTGGGTGCAGCAGCGCCATCAGCAGCAGCAGAAGAAACTTCAGGGGGTGGATGACCGACCGCCTGCCTGAGGCCCTCCTTGGCGGCGGTGAGAGTGGCGGGCTTCCCCGTCTGCTTCGCCGCGGCTGCTGCCTCCTTAGCCTTCTGGGAGATGGCCTCACGAGCAGCGGTGGCCTGCTCCTCCGTGAGGAGGTTGGCCGTGCGCTCAGCCGCCGACGGTGCCGCAGGCGCCGCTGTGCCTCCGCCTTTGGCTGGCGGGCACGCTGGCACCTTGGCAGGCGGCGCCTTGACTGGGGGCGGCACGATGGGCGGGGCTGGCGCCGCAGGCGGGGCCTGCTTGGCTGGCGTGTCAGCACGCGCCGCAGGCGCCGCACCATGCACTGCGCCCTCGGGGGTACGTCTCTTCTTGTTGGCGGGCTCCTCCACGGCCGCCTTGATACTCTTGAGAAGCTCCTCAAAGCGTTGCTGGCCCTCTTGAAGCTCCTGCTGGTGGCGGGCGACTTCTGCCTGCCACTGGCGTAGTGACTCCTGCACAGAGTCCTCGTACTCGTCAATGTTCTCGAAGAGGGCGGAGTCCACCTCAAAGAACACTGCAGCTGAATCCTTGGGTTCAGGACGCCTGGGAGTCGGGTCCAAGCGCCAGTAGTCGTCGTGCGCCTTCGTGCACTCGGCCTCGGCGGCGAGGGAGGTCTCGATCTGGAGGTTGTGAATCCTCTTGGCCTCCTCCAGCGCCTGCTCCGCCTCAAGGAGCCTGTTGGCCGTCTTGAGGAGGCGCTGCTCTTCCTGCTCGGCGATGCGATCCGCCCTGAGCATCGCCTGCTTCGCCGCGGACGGGTCCTTGGTGGCCTTTTGCTGCTTCTCCTGCTCTGCCTTGTCGATTTCAGCCTGCAACGCTTGCGCGGCAGGCGTGGCCCGAAGCTCTTCAGGAAGAAAGTCTCGCAGCGATATTGCCGACGGCTCTCTCCATGGCGGCGTGCCACCGCCATCGGACTTCGGGTACTTCTTCTTGGGCTTGAAGGGTTCAAGCTGCTTCTTGCAGAACAGGCATTTGCCACCGAGCTCCTCAATCCGCCAGTTGTAGGTCCACTCTCCGCACGAGCACCAAGCATACTGCTGAGCTGGCTTCTTGCCCATGTCACAGAGTGGGAACCACACAGGATGCTGCGCCGCTGGGCAGCTCACGCAGCGGTGCGATGAAGAAACTGGGGTCTAGCCGCGGACTAGCGGTATCCACTTGTTTCCGCTGGGAAACGAAAGCCTTGAGCCAAAATGGCTACGGAGAGAAGAAGGGAGGAGGAGGAGGAGGATAAGGAGGAGGAAAATGAGGAGGGAAGGGAGGAGGAGGAGGAGGAGGAGGAGGAGGAGGGAGGAGGAGGAGGAGGTGAGGGAGGAGAGGGGGAAGGGAGGAGGAGGAAAGAGGAACGGAGGAGGGAGGAGGGAGAAGAGGAGGGGGTGGAGGAAGGAGGAGGGAGGAAGAGGAGGGAGGGAGAGGAGGGAGGGGGGAGGAGGGAGAAGGAGGAGGAGGAGGAGGAGGAGGAGGAGGAGGAGGAGGAGAAGGAGGAGGAGGAGGAGGAGGAGGAGGAGGAGGAGGAGGAGAAAAGGGCGCCAGTCCAGCGTAAAACGGGATGAAGTCTCGGGCGTGAGCGCTGGTTTGTCGGGACGGGGGCTGTCGGCGGCGAGCAAGAGCACCGCCTTGAGTATTACAGGGAGGAAGTCTCGAGCGGGAGCGTTGTTGTTGCTGGGGGGCGGCGCCGATGAGAGAACGAGTAGCGCGCCTGTACAAGGTAAAACGGGAGGAAGTCTCGAGCGGGAGCGCTGGTTTTGTTGAGACGGCTGCTTTCGGCGGCGAGCAAGAGCACCGGCCACGAGTAAAAAAGGAAAAGTCTCGAACGGGAGCGTTGGTGTTGTTGTTGTTGCTGTTGTTGTTGTCGCTGCTGCTATTGTTGTTGTTGTTGTTGTTGTTGTTGTTGTTGGGGGGCGGGTTTGGGCAGTCCCCCAAGCCGTTTGAGAGTGAGCCTCGTTGTCAATGGCAATGCAGCCAGCGCCTCGGCGAGAGCGCCAGGGCACCCGTAAGGGGTCCAATCCGCACCGCAGAACCTCACTTCAGCCGCGCGCCCAGGGACAGTGAATGGCCATCCGGCCCCCACACT